CTCACTGGAGCCCTCTCAGCTCAAAGGCTGCAGCCAGCTGTGCGGCCCGTGCAGAGCACTGTGCCAGTTAACTTACCACTGTCCTGGGCGGTATTTCAGAAGGAGAAGGGCAGGTGTACCACAACCAGCTGAACTCTCTCCACCAAACCTCTTGTCCCGGGAGCAGCTCTTGTGAGGGGAGATGTTTTCCAGAGGCACTCTAAACGTTTGGCCCTTGTGACCTGGATTTGGGCTCAGCTTACTTTCCGGGCAGACCCTCGGTATTTTGATGTATGCGATGCCTCCGGATTCTTGTCTCCTTTGCTTAGAACATTCACCTTCCAGAAACAAAAAATAAAAAAAATCTTCCCAATGTCTAAAACACCAAATCGTACTTTTTTTTTTTTTTTTTAAATCCTCAGCACCAAAACTTTCTTCTCTGTGAGAGAATTTATAAACCAGGGCACTGATTGTATTTGTACTCTACATGGGGTTCCTTATATGCTCACTTACCAGCTAGTTCCTGAGGAGTGAGATGCTACTGTGGCCCGAGGTACTGGGAATTAGCAGAGAACAAAGGTCACACCCTCCTGGAATCTCTGGTTTTGTACCGGTATGTGTGCAGGAGAAGTAACAACACAACCCCTTTGTGGCATCTACTGAGCACCCGACACTGTCCTGAGCATTTTACACATGACTGGTTTGATCACACAGGAACCTACCAGGTGGGTACTGTTGCTGTCCCCAGTTTACGGGTGAGGAGACTGAGGCCAAGGGAAGCCAGGTAATCTGCCCCACGTCCCAGGCTGACTGCCTGTGGTCGGGAGGAGTAGCAGAGAAAAGAAGAAGGAAGTGGGGGGCTCGAGAGCAGAGCAGCAGATGCAGTTATAACTGGAGGAGGAAACATTTGAAGAGGCCTGAAGCGAGGGACCTTGTCAGGGCATTTGAGAGGTCAAAGCTATTTTATTTTACTATTATTATTTTTTTGCGGTACGCGGGCCTCTCACTGTTGTGGCCTCTCCCGCCGCGGAGCACAGGCTCCGGACGCGCAGGCTCAGCGGCCACGGCTCACGGGCCTAGCCGCTCCGCGGCATGTGGGATCTTCCCGGACTGGGGTACGAACCCGTGTCCCCTGCATCGGCAGGCGGACTCCCAACCACTGCGCCACCAGGGGAGCCCTCAAAGCTATTTTAATTATTTTAAGATATGACTTGCCTTTTCCTCATTTTCTCATGAGTGTGCAGCGGAGTTCTCTAGAGGCTGCATGACGTGTCATAAGCAGCATATTGGCTGCAGGAGTGGCGGTGAGAACCCAGCTGTCTTCTACTAAGCCAGAAGGTGAAAGGGTTTGCAAAAGTGTAAAACATTGCCAGTCTTCTTAGTAAACTCTGTTTTAAAAAATATAGTTATTTTCATTAAAATATTATGATAACTTACAATGGGTTTTTTTTTAATGACTTAATAAATACTAACATTTTTCTTAGTTTTAACTTCCAGCACAGTAAATACTGATAGATAGATGGGCCCCACCTAAGCCAAAGCTGTGTGGGGTCCTCAGTACCTTTGGTGTAGACAGGTTCTGAGAGCACAGGCCTTGAGCCACCCCTGTGTGAGAAGCGGTCCCCCAGCCACCGTGGGAAGGAAGAGTCAGTGCAGGAGGCAAGGATGAAGCGGTTACTTGGCTTTTGTAGTAGATCTAAGTGGGCAGCAGAGAGGATGAGAAATGGCTGCGTCTGGGTTTATTTTGTGGGTGTGGATTTTTAAAGAATGTGGAAAAATACCCGTAACATAAAATTTCCCATTGTAACCATTTTTTTTTTTTTTTTTTTTTTTTGTACGCGGGCCTCTCACTGTCGTGGCCTCTCCCGTTGCGGAGCACAGGCTCCGGACGCGCAGGCTCAGCGACCATGGCTCACGGGCCCAGCCGCTCCGCGGCATGTGGGATCTTCCCGGACCGGGGCACGAACCCGTGTCCCCTGCATCGGCAGGCGGACCCTCAACCACTGCACCACCAGGGAGGCCCTGTAACCATTTTTAAGTGTGCAAGTCAGTAGTTTTGAGTTTGTTCTTTCATACTGTTGTGCAAGCAACTCCTGGAACTCTTTTCGAAAGTCTTGCAAAACCGAAACTCTCTACCCTTTAACCCACTCCCCGTGGGTCTGGGTTTACTTTGAAAATGAAGGCGGAAGGATTTGCTCTTGGCTTGGGTGCAGCGTGTGTAAAATGTCTGGTGGATGCGTCATTAAGCAGAGAGATGGTAGCTTTTTTTTCTGCCTTGCAGACATAGGCCTACACACGTCTGCCCGTTCGGGATTTCACATGTGAGCGCACTGCTCCTCCAATAGGTCACGAGGGAGTTAAGTGCAGGTGAGGCTCAGGTGCTTCTGACCCTCACCTTCTCCCATCATCACATAACAGAAAAAAAGTAGTATCACATCATGGTCACATTGTATTAAAGATGGTTAAACATTTAAATTTATTTTCAGTTACTTCTGGGTTGATTTAAACTTACGGAAGAGAATCTGGGTAGTTAATTCAAGAAATAGGCACCAACTATGTGGAAATAAAGTTTCGTAACATCCCTTTTAATCAGATCAGCTTCAGGAGTCGTTCCCGTGGTTAACTACATAGCCTGAGGTTATAATGTGAACATTCAGAAGGGGAAAGTAAAAGGAAAATGGAAAGGTTCCAACTGTGAGATGAGCCCAAAACAAGCTGGTGGAGATAGGAACCCGGGGAGGGGCTTGGTGGCCACAACCAGGGAAAGTCGCAGCACAGACCCCCACTGGAGGCAATGCCCGGGGCAGAACGAAATGGACAGAAACTACAAATTCATTTTCTCAGGTAAGCAGACTGCCAGAGCAGATGTTCTTACCTTAAAAACAAAAGTAACAGTGCTAGTGCCTAATTGAGTAGGAAAAACACTTCGCCAATTATCTACCCCAGCCCTGTGGGTTGTGGGGTGTCCCTGGTTCATAAAAGAGGAAATTGAGATCAGGAGAGGTCAGTTATATGCTCCAGGTCACGCAGCAAATAACAGAGAGCTGGACTCTGAGTGCAGGCTGGCCCAATCCCAAAGGGGTAGTTGTTTTTTTTGGCTGCGCTGGGTCTTCGTTGCTGTGCGCGGGCTTTCTCTAGTTGTGGCGAGCGGGGGCTACTCTTCGTTGCGGTGCACGGGCTTCTCATTGCGGTGGCTTCTCTTGTTGCGGAGCACGGGCTTTAGGTGCGGGGCTTCAGTAGTTGTAGCACGCGGGCTCGGTAGTTGTGGCTCGCGGGCTCTGGAGCGCAGGCTCAGTAGTTGTGGCGCACGGGCTTAGTTGCTCCGCAGCATGTGGGATCTTCCCGGAGCAGGGCTCGAACCAGTGTTTCCCGCAATGGCACGTGGATTCTTAACCACTGTGCCACCAGGGAAATCCCGAAAGGGGTTTTTTCTTGAACACTGCGTTGTCAGTCAAGTTTTTCAGAAATTTTGCATTTTCTTTTCTTTTTTTCTTTTTTTTTTTTTTGCGGTATGCGGGCCTCTCACTGTTGTGGCCTCTCCCGTTGCGGAGCAGAGGCTCCGGACGCGCAGGCTCAGCGGCCATGGCTCATGGGCCCAGCCGCTCCGCGGCATGTGGGATCTTCCCGGACCGGGGCACGAACCCGTGTCCCCTGCATCGTCAGGCGGACTCTCAACCACTGCACCACCAGGGAAGCCCTCATTTTCTTTTAATACCTCATATTTGTAATTTTATATTCATAAGTCTTGTTTCACCTCTTTTATGTTTTTGTTTGTAATGCTAATTTTAAATAAATAATGTATTATTATTGTTATAAAGAACTAACATTTTTAAATTGAAATATAGTTGATTTACAATATTAGTTTCAGGTGTACAACATAGTGGTTCAGTATTTTTTAGATTACACTCCTTTAAAGATTACACTCCTAGGGACTTCCCTGATGGTGCAGTAGTTAAGAATCCGTCTGCCAATGCAGGGGACACGGGTTTGAGCCCTGGTCGGGGAAGATCCCACATGCTGCGGAGCAACTAAGCCCGTGTGCCGCAACTGCTGAGCCTGTGCTCTAGAGCCCGCGAGCCACAACTGCTGAGCCCGTGCTCCACAATGAGAAGCCACCGCAGTGAGAAGCCTATGCACCGCAACGAAGAATAGCCCCTGCTTGCCACAACTAGAGAGAACCTGCACACAGCAACGAAGACCCCAAAGCAGCCAAAAATAAATAAATAAATTTTAAAAAATAAAAAAAAATAAAGGTTTACCTAATAATGGCTATATTTCTCTGTGCCGTACAATATATTCTTGTTGCGTATCTATTTTATATGTAGTAGTTTGTATGTCTTTAAAAAGATTTTTTTTTTGAAGTATGGTTGATTTACAATGTGTTAAGGTTTCTGGTTTACAGCAAAGTGATTCTGTCTTTTTATATATATATATAAAATGTGTATCTATATATTCTTTTATATATATATTCTTTATATATTAGGTTGGCCAAGAAGTTCATTCGGGGTTTTCCATAACATCTTACAGAAAAATCCATACAAACTTTTTGTCCAACCAAATATATTATTCTTTCTCAGATTCTTTTCCATTATAGTTTATTAGAAGATACTGAATATAGTTCCCTGTGCTATGCAGTAGGACCTTGTTTAGTTTGTATCTCTTAGTCCAAGAAACAACATATTTTATTTGTAACTTTTCTAAGAGAGGCAGAAAACAGAGATAGTAAGATATGATACCGTCCATAACCATCAGTCTTTTTTCTTTCTTTCAATTTCTAGAGCAATTTATTTCTTATTTTTGGTTGCTTCATGGCCTCAGATAATTTCTATATCACTTTAGAATTTCATCCCATTTGGGCGTTGATACCAAACTTGGCCACAAAAAATAGCAGCGTGGCCTTCTGAACTCATGAGAGTTTTATTGTTTTAATAATGGATGTGTGTCTTCAAAAGCAGTCGAGTTGAAAATAATAATTCTAACCTGGCCTATGTCCTTTCTCCTTTTTCTGTTTTTGAACACAGTCAACAAGCACAAGCCGTGGCTGGAGCCCACGTATCACGGCTTAGTTACGGAGAGTGACAGCACCGTGCTCCTCGACCCGCCACTGATCGCCCTGGACAAAGATGCACCTCTGCGCTTTGCAGGTACCAGCGTGTCTTCGTTCACTCCCCATGAGCTTGGGCTTGTGGGAAGCATTTCACACATCCCCTTTGGGTTGTTTCTGAGCCTTTCTGAGAATGTCTTGATAGCGAAGGGTTGTGTGTGGCCCCCATGTACCATTTTTTTTCCTTCTAATTTTAAGAGTTGGGGTACCTGAGCCCCCCCAAAAGCCGGTACTTGTTGAAAAGCAAAATATTTAATTGCATCACTGTGTTCCTTGTCTGGATGTAACCAGAGAGAGAGCATCTAGACCAGTGCATCTCAGACTTCAGCATTCATGCAGAGCCCAGGGATCGTGTTAAAATGCAACCTTAAAAAAAAAAAATGCAAGTTTAGATACAGTGGGTCTGGGAGGACCTGGGATTCTGCCTTTCTAACCTGTTCCCTGGTGCTATTGGTCCATGCACAGCGAGGATCTAGGTAATTACGGCTCAAGATTTTCCTTGCACTGCCTAGGTTTCAGTTACCTGAAAAGACTTATTTAAAGACATTGAGCAATCTTTTATAAATGAATTTTTGGGCTTAGATTTTACTTTCAGTAAATTTTTAACGTGAGTTACTTCATAAGATTGTCAGCGAAGTGTTTATAGGGACAAATCTCGAGGGTTGCTTTGGAGATTTGCTGCTTTGCCAGCATTCAGTAGCACTTTGCAAATCAGAACTGTCCTTGCTTTACGTCGGGGCCATAGTAACTTCCTTAACTGGTGGAGGAACGGGCTGCTTCACCCTTTCTTTGTCAGAATTGACTGTCAATTCTGATAGTCAGAATTGACGTCGCGAAGTTAATTTTTAAAGAGCAGTTTCTGCACGATGTTTCTCCAGAACAAAATTTCTGTTTGTTCTGTTTGCCTTGGGACAAATGAGAAAAATTCAGTAGCTCTTGTAGATCATTCCGTACGTTAAATTTAGTATGGTAAATGGCGGCAGTGATGTGAGGCTGCCTCTGAAGAGCTATTTAAAAAATGAATTTGTTCTTCTTTTTGTCCAAGTGCCACATCCCATTTCCAGGAAAGTAACCCGAGAAGCAGCTTATGGTATTGGAGTCAGTTCCAGTTAGTTTTACTTGTTTATTGGTTTTTAGACAGAAATCCAGTTAGATGGATGGTAGAGGAAGCGCTCTGTGCTGGGCGTACAGTGTCTGTCTGGTAGCCAAGGGGATTTTTTTGTTTGTTTGTTCCCCCCCACCCCCGATTTAAAATCATTTTTAGCATTACCTAGTGGTTTCCTCTGTGAATAGCTAGACTTCTGAGTGTTTGCATATACATATATACACACACTTTGCATGCAACACCTTTGGTTATTATATGCGGTTCCTCCTTATGGGTGTGATGTTTCAGTGCCTTGTAAATAACCTTGATGGGCTTATCTAGCTCATGTTTCTGAGGGGACTTGTACATCTCTGCCATCTCACACATTCTGAGAAGTGATTGCTGTCAGGAGTTTTGTATTTACTCCCCCAGGCCTCTCTTTATGAATTCTCATCTGTGTCCAGTCCTGTTGCTGGTGGAGCTCTGTCCCATTACATCACTCGTGATATATAACACTTATAAAGCATTTTGTGTCCCAGGCACTGTTGTAAGTGCTTTACAAATACGCATTTGTGTTTAATCCACAGCAACCTTTTGAGGTAAGTATGCTTCCTGCCACCCCTGTTTTAAAAAAAGAGGAAGCCGAGGCACAGAGCTGCTAACTTTGCTCTGGGTCACACAACTAGTATGTGGCAGAGGCCAGATTCCAGCCCAGGCAGGATGGCTCTTCGCTCTGGTGCTGTATGTGGCACCACAGGAAGGTACAAAGGAAGGGAAGTAGGAAATGAAATGTACAGTGAGTGCTAACTTTGAAGTCATATTAATAAAGTTACTTAGTTTTTCTTTCTCGTTGGATTTAATTTTATTGGGTCATTTATCAAAACTTAATGTATTACTGTGAATGAAATAATACTTATAAAGTTTTATGTTTTTAGAGATTCTCAGGTATTTTTTTTATTGGTGTGCCAAAGTTACATATTGGGATTTTAAAAAACGATATAGAGAAGCACTTTAGAGCCAAGTGTAGTGGTGACTTGATTGTATTTGCCATAGTGGACAGAAAAAGTAAGTATTTTCCTTCTGGAGATTTTCACAGGGGAGCACAGTTGCTCTTATATTCTTTTTTTAAAAATACAATTCATGTACCATAATGTATACAGTTTTTAAAGTGTACAGTTCACTGGTTTTTAGTATATTCATAAGATTGTCCAGCCATCAGCCACTGTCTAGTTCCATAACATTTCATCTCCCCCAGAAGAAACCCTTGCACCTGCTAGCAACCACTCCCCTTGGCCACCACTAGTCTACTACTTGTTTATGGGTTTGTCTTTTCTGGGTATTTCATATAAATACAACATGTGGCTTTTTGTGACTAGCGTCTTTCACTTAGCATGATGATTTGAAGGTTCACCCATGTTGTGGCATGCCCTTCATTCCTTTTTTTTGCCAAATAATATTTCGATGTACGGACGGACCACATTTCATTCATTCGTCCATCAGTAATGGGCATCAGAATTGTTTCCACTTTGTGGTGATTGTGAATAATGCTGCTGTGAACATTCGTGTACGAGTTTCTGTGTGGACATCAGTTTTCAGTTCTCTTGGTTATACACCCAGGGGTGGAATTCATGCTCATCTACTCTTCCTGAAGCATGGTCCTCATCCTACCAAAGTGAGTAGCTGCACAGTCCAGGGAAGGGAACACCTGTCTCCTTCCCTCTTCTGTTGCCATGGTACCCATCCAACTACCCATCCAGCTGCTATACAGAACACTGCCCCCACGAGGCTGTAGCAGACGGGTACGTAGGAAAACAGACCCTAGAGCCAGCAGCCTGTGCTTGAATCCTGGCTCTGAAACTTACTGGCTGTTTGGCTTTGGGCAAATTACATAAAATCTCTGTGCCTCACTTTTCATCTCTTGTAAAATGAGGATAATATCACATACCTTACAGGGTTTGGGGAATATTAACTTATTTATGTATAAATATGAAGAGCTTAAAACAATGCCTGCTGTGTAGTAGGTACTGTGTAGTGTTTGCTGCTGCTGTTATGAACCTTTTAAAAATATTTCTTTACTTGACGTTCTGTGAGAACTGTTTCCATCTTTCTCTAATAGTCTTCATAATGTTCCATTTTCTCACTGATTTCTTAAATAACTTTTGTGTAAAGCAGAGGCTAGGTCTGGAGCCTTATTTTGATCTTAGGTTGGTTTTGGTGGCAACGTTGAGTTTATTTTAACACCATGATGATGGTGGTGGTGGAGGCAGTGGGCACATCTGACATTTATTGAGCTCTTCAGCGTGGCCAAGGGTGTTCTCAGGGCTCTGCACAGTTACTCTGTCTGATTCCTTCCAGCAATCTCACGCGGTGGGTACTCTCATGCCCCCATTTTCCATATGAAGAAACGGAGACTCAGAGCATGCCCGTCAGCAGCATGGCTACTGTATTCTCCATGTAATCCCTGGTCCCTAGACCAGCACCTGGGACTAGTTGACGCTTCCATAGATATTTGTAGAAGGAACGAGTGAGTTTGCTCAAGATTGCACAGCTCACAAACAGCTGCGCTGCCTTCGAGCCAGGCGGTCAGACTGCAGCGTGATTCTTAGTTTCACCGGGTCAGCTCTCGTGATATTGACTTCACCACGTTGTAAACATTCTGGTCCACAGTCTCATCCCATCACAGGACCTGTGTGTGGGTCACCACCGGAGATTACTCATGCAGCCTCCGAAATAAATACCTGTGTAATGTGGGAAGCCTGGTCACCAAAGTGTGTTGTAAGTTGTCACTCATCAGACATTCATGTGAAGCCCACAGGGTCTGGCCCACATTGTTTTCTTGGGGGTAAAACTAAGAGAATAAAGTCTTGCTCTTTGTCATGTATTTTAGGAAATCGAAACGACTCAATTCCTTATTCAGCCCCTTTTCTTAATCTGCTGAAAGCCTGAGTAGAGGTGAGGGTAAGAACATGTATTGTACGTTTTATATATTTAATGGGGAGTTAAAAGCTGGGACCACTTCACAGGCCACGTTGTTGCTGTTTTGACGGTTACCCCTTCTTCACTGCCTGTATCGGAAGCTGAACACCCTGCACTCCCCACCCCCCAGCCCCCCCCTTTTTTTTTTTTGCGGTACGTGGGCCTCTCACTGTTGTGGCCTCTCCCGTTGCGGAGCACAGGCTCTGGACGCGCAGGCCCAGCGGCCATGGCTCACGGGCCCAGCTGCTCTGCGGCATGTGGGATTTCCCGGACTGGGGCACGAACCTGCGTTCTCCGCCTCGGCAGGCGGACTCTCAACCACTGCGCCACCAGGGAAGCCCCCTGTCCCCCTTTTTGAAGCTCTTCCCTTTAGTAGGTGGTTCCAGAAGCATTCTTTTTCCTGCCTTCCTAGACTGAGTACAGACATTCCACAAGATTAGTTAAAACAATTACGATACGAATGGAATCCAAAAGAAATTTCAGGGTGAGAACAGGAAGTTTGTTGATATTAGAACCAGCTCAGATCTGTGCTGCTTTTCTCCACAGGGCTTCACGACCACACATGTCTGCCCAGTTTTGCTTTTTCAGCATGTGCAGCTGGGCTGGCATTGTGTTTGCAGCAATGAGTTGGATGTGTTAGGTTAAGCCACATGAAGATGCCATTTTTGTATGTTGAAAATGTCAAAATATTTGAAAAAATGGAATGTCAGAAATTTTATGTGATTCAGCCTAGCATAAGGCAATAATCAGTTGAGTAGCAGTTTTAACTAGGTAAGGATCCAGATGTCAGGACAGAAACTTCTTATTAACAGTTACTGACTAGCGTGAACTCATGTTGGATGCATTTGCCTCCAGGAGAGGTTTGAGATCAATAATCATTAGATATGAGGTAGCTTTGCTAAGTCTTCCAGAGAATGCAAAAAAGCATTTCTCAAAACACTGATCATCTAGGTGGGAAGGCAAAACCAGCATTGTCAGAG